AATATAAGCTTTGAACAAGTGCTATATATATATACCTATCTATAACTTTATAAAACATATTCTATTAGATACCTTATATCAATATCCGTATTTCTTTATTGTAAATATTTTATTATTCTTATACATGTTTCTATTGTGCATAACATATTCGTGAAAAGGTACTACAGGATTGCAGTTTGGTATTATTCAATACACCTATTACATAAATAACTAACTAACTTTATAATTATACGGCTTACTGTCTTATTACGAAAAGATAAATCTGATAAGTACGTTAATAAATATTATATAATAATGAAATAATTATAATGGAGACGTAGAGAAATACAAATATTTTTTGTTTTTACTTTATACATTTATCTTTGAAGTAATTTTATTTTTAACCATTTCAGTTTTCTGGTAAAATGGAACGCAATTGTACGCTGACAGATATGAGTGACTGATTTCTGTATATTATCTGTGGGGAATATAGAATGAACGATTTAACTGTAGTAGGTACTGAGTAGTCCTCTGTTAGATCTGGATTCGTAATAATGTTAGATTTATTCCAAGTATTAACATTAGGAATGGTTTAAACCTCGACCATTTAGAACACATTTCGTCCGAGTTTTAATAGATTTTTTGTAATAAGACCGTTACAGTTACACCTTATACTTATTTGGCAAAAACGTTGTAATAAATTTATATTCAAATTCCATTCGATTTATATTACAGAAAAGAATAGGTATTTAGAATTCATGACTTTCAAATTTAAAAAACTTTCATAGAATAATTTCTAAAATACGCTAGAATTTCTTCTTTTATTAACAACCTTCTTATTCTTGTAAACATGGCTTGACTTTTAGTTTTATAGTTTATAAACTATTGCCTCTCTAACGCCGATAGTGAGTTCAATACTCGTGTAGGCTGGCTCTCAGCTAACGAACGAGATGCTCGTGCAACGATAAAGGCCGCATTTCAATAGGAATATACGCAGTCCAAAGCGACAATCGTTGAATACCACGCTTAAACACTTAGTAAGGCGCCTACATGAGTTCGTTGAGTGAAAACGTGCCAGTACTTAATTAAGAAACGCAATATTCTATATATATTATTATACATTGGAATCTCGGTGTTTAATGAGATTTGGACATTCATTTTTGTAATTGAAATGGGAAACAAGCTGACCAGGGCCATACGGTATACACACGATGACACGGTGTCATGTCATCGTTGACGCCCCTGATACTACTCATGCGTTGCCATTCTGGAGGACTAAGATGTCATGACTCTTATCCTATAATTTAACCGCCTATTCTCACTCATTCTTTAACCGAAAAATAATTTACAAAGCAAGCTGCTTTTTAATAAGCCTAAGATTATATAGTTTTATATTAAGTGTTATATAAGTTATCATTATAGTGTTACTCTTTTATTGATCTTTTTGAATAAATATATTACATATTTATTATATAGAAAGAAATAATTCTACTTGCGTATATATAGAACGAAAGAACCGTTACGCTCTAATTTCGTAGTAAAATCGATGATATAATTTCGTAACATACTCGGATACAGTATACATCTGGGCTTGCAACATTTGTTCAAATAAAATTTAATGACCAACTGTTAATGGAAATTACAAGTTATATTTTGGGATATAATATTTTTTTATTTATCACATTATTGATTTCATTACAGTGAGCAGATTCAAATAAGTCCTAATCCTCTAAATTAAAACACAAATCAGGGCAGACTAGTAGTCTGCACTAATTATTTCCAATTTACTGGAGTGAGAGTCAAACGAACGGGTGAATTACATTTACAATTTTACCATTGGAACAAACAATGTGGTATTATTCCTGGTATGAATATTACATGGGTAGGTAGTAATAGTAGGTGATTATGTAAACTGAGTCAGTAGTATTGCTCAATTATTGCGATTGTATAGGTATCTATTGGCTGTCTGGGAGGAAACCACAAAATGGACAATTAGCTTTTTACACAACCTGATTGGAAGCGAGGTGTGGGAACTGATCGTCCTTAATCAAACCACGGGAAACAATTTTATGCTTCACTTAAGAATGTTCCTATTGAGACAGAATGATTCAGGTATACGCTAAACGTCTTTCAAAATTAATTAAATAATTAAATATTTAGAATCATTAGGTAAAAAGAGACTATTTCTAAATACCTAAAAAAATATTGAATATTATAGAGATACCATAAAAAACTCTACTATTTATTCAGGATTATTTTTGTAAAATTATTATTATTATTGATAATTCAGAACTACATAAAATTGGTGAAGTATATTTTTATGTGGCGATTATACCTACTTTTTTATATATCTATATCTTGCACAGGTCTATGTAAAATCCATAACTCTATGCAATGCTAAAATAATTACAAGAAACTCTTATATAGAAGTAGGTACATGATATTTATTTGTAAACTGAAACAGATACATAGTATCTATCTTGGATTTGATGTTTTCTTTTGTCAGATATAAGATAATTTTGTTCAACTAGAATTAAAAACGTTAGTAGAACGACAAGGTTTATTTGAACTTACTATAAATAAATAGTTATTGTTTTTAATATTTTCAAGAAGAAGGGAAAGCCTTACATTCTGGAACGGTCATAATTTTTACTCAACTCTATAATTACAAAAAAATAATATGACCATACATTTTATTCAATCCCCATCACTATTTCAGTAAAATAATATACTTCATAGTCTATTATTATTAAGTAAATGGACAGAGAATATTAAAACTTCATCAAATGTACAACGTGAACATTATGTTATATTAAATAAATGCACAACAATAACAATTATCTCATACATCAGTAATTATTTTAAATTACAAATTGTGCATACCTATATACGTAAAGTAATTGTATATGTACGACTAAAAACGACATAAAAACTCAGCTGAACTCCAAGCGCAATTTAATATTAAAAAGAATTAATAGTAACTGCAAATTTACAGATTTAAAACTATTCTCAGATCACGAGAAACGTTCCGTCAAATTGGATTTTTTTTAATATGTCGTTGAAAATAGTTTTTACTTCTTATTACTAAATAGAAATATGAAAAGCATGATGTTATAAAATATTTAAAATATGACTTTGTTTTGAATGACTTCATGAAATTATAAAGAAATCCTTCTTTAATAGTGGATATATATATATTAAAATGTTATTATTCATCCATCCATCTATTCTTGTTCTATTTTACAATAAAGAAACGTGTAAACGCAACCTATGGAATTCCGCAATTAGGTACGTTTACTTAATTTAAGAGTGGAAGACAAAACATCGATGAAACATGCTTCACTGTATAATAAATGATTGCAAACTTTAAGCTCTTAAGAAAACATAATCACATAGCTAATAGCAACCACCTACAATTATGAGCGTTCAGAAGCTGCACAATGTCAAATTAATACTTGCACACGTAGACCGCAGCCATTGAAAAAGCGTTTAAGACTTGATGTGTTTATTAAATTGTCTTAAATAATTTACGAGCGAGTGAGGACTTCTCGTCGTTTATATAATCATCGGTTAATATTTTTCTCATTAATAATTTACGCAGAAAGAAATACAGGATTATTTTTAGTGCCTATTGTCGTCTCACGGTATATTTTGATTCATAAAATTATGATTATGATGAATTCATAATAAAAAATATTATTGTTAAAGATATTTATATTACAAGACAATAATCTTAATTTACTGTCTGAGATTCTACCTACTAAAGTTTACTCCATAAAAACTCCTCGCTATTCTGAAACAATAAAATTAATGCTAATTTAATTGCAGTTCTTAAAATTATAATTAACTACTACAGAATCAAAGGAGAATGAACTTTAGCGCGATTACATCCTTCCCAATTAGTTTCTTTTCTTACAACATATACAACAGTACCCGCTTTGAGCATTTTACGTTTAAGGTAATTTCTTTACATTGCCATTTTAAGATATGAAATAAATAGTAACATTAGAAGTAATTTACTTACGTACAATGATTTTTACTGTATAACTACAAATAGTAAAAATATAAAGGTGACCTAAAGACACTTGTTTAAATTGAAGACTAGCGGACAATTTAATTAAAAACGACCATGAGAAAGTCTGAGGAGCCAACGCAGGCGGTGACGTCAGGATTTAGTTTAGAGTATGTAATATTGTATTATCTGTGGTTTAGAGTAAAATTAAATAATACTAATATAAGTACAACACAGAAACCGGGAGGTGTACGGCATTTACATTATTGTGGAATTGTATACTATTTTTTTAGCTTTAAATTTTGTCCGTGTGTCAAACAACCTCATAAACTGTTGTTTATAAAGTAAGTACAAGTACAAGTACAACAAGTGTTGTTGTTCAATAAAATTAAGCAATTTTGAATTGAGTACTGTACTATAAGTAATGATCATTATTGTGATAACATGCGAAGTCGAATCAATCGCAATAAAAGATCCATTCGTCATATGTATTAAAATACTCTCTCTTTATTACACTGTATAGAGCCCGACAGCAGAATAAGAATATAACCAATAAAGGAAATGAGGCGATTACTCAGAAATTGAGATAGACGTCGCATTTGTATATTGTTGTATGAAATCTAAACAAGTCACTAGTAAATTACTTGCTTTACCAAAATACTGTCTGTAATGCTGCTCCTTTTAAAGCCATTTTTTTTACAATAATGTTATATTGAAAATAGTTTGAATATCTATTTAAATAAATATCTGTGCTTTTACTATTTCTTCTAGATCATTTCACATCATATGTACCTACTTACTAATGTAATGTGAGGTATTTATGTAATATGATATAAGGATACTCATTTTGCTCTCCTTTAAGAGTACGTAACATTGTTAGAAGTGCGTTGGCGTTTATGAGAATTTCAAGCAAAAACTGGTATAGGAAACTAGATTTTCACGTCCGTAGAGTTTAGAACGATTAGCTTCAAGTCTGCGAGGGATGCATTGTTGATACGCTATCAGCTGATTCACCGCAGTCCGCCATGGTAGCGCGACCAGTACGCATGCGCGCAGCGCTAACCCATAACACGACGCGTGCGACGTCGCCGGCGTATACAACGTTAGAAACATCTTAGATGGCTTAATTGTTCTATGATGCCGTGGAACGCGAGAAAGTTTATACGGGTGATAAAGCTCTTGCTGGCGGGGGTTATGGTGTTCAGTGTGAGCTGGATCGCAAGTGTCAATCAATGGCATCCGCGGGTGAATTGGGGTGGGCGACGAGGTGCACCTGATTATGGACTATCCACCATGAGAACTATTGTGGCATACTCGGAGGGGAAGCAGGCGGAATTGGACCGACCTTCGCCAGTCACGTGCGACCAGATACCAGCCATTCCAGAGATACCACACATCGTTAGAAACTTTTATTCTCTTTTTAAATTATATCTGCCAATACCATCGACAACATCATTTGTTTTGTTAAATTTATTAATTATAAAGTTTAGATAACTTAATCAATATAAATAAAAAACTACATAAACGAAACTTTTAAACAGTAAAATATTGCTTGCGCAAAGTTTCAGGTATCCTACCTACCTACCTATCTTTATTTTAATTTTTATTATTGTCATTGTATTACCAAATGATAACAATGGCCAACTGTTATTACTAAACAGTTGGTACCTAGTAGGCATACAAATTTCCAGGCTTGTTGTAATTGCTGTATGCTCTACACACATGATAACAATATTTAATGCCCAAACTAGAATACTCTATGAAGTTAGGCAACAAAAGGTCCTGGGATCAGTGGAATTGTTCTTTGAATTCCCTTGAGGTTGCACCTCTAGTTACTATTTAAGCAATGAAGATTTTATTGTGCATGCTGTAATTTAATTTTCTTCCATAAGGAAACGGATTTCAATTATGGAAAAAAGTAAACTCAATCAATTACAAAAAGAAATATTATAATCGGGGAAAATTACTAAAAAATATCGAACATACTTTTGGAAACAAACACAAATAATAAAGTCTAATTTAGAATTTCTAGAATTCGGAAGACGACTTGCACAATTTTTTATTACAATTGTGTAAATAATAGTTGATGATTAATAACTTACGTAATAAATTTCCTGTAGTTTGTTATTAACCTCCATGTTTTGTAAAATCCCGGAGTAATTATATTTGTCATAAAGTCGCTACTCTTTTCGAGTATAAATAGGACTTGATTTAAAAGCCCATAAAGACAAAATTCTTTATAATGTGAATGGAACCGGATTTTCAACAGAAATTGCCAATATATATTTTTTATAAGCAACAATAACTCTTTAACATACAAATTGTTGTTATTTAATAGCTTAGTTGATAGCATCGGACCCCATTCAATATGTAAATGAAGACACTTCCTGGCTATTTCGAAGGCACCAAACTTGAAACAACCAATAAAAATATTTAATCTCCATCTCCACCGTGACAAATCTTTAATTAAATTCTTCAAAATTTATTAGGTTACTTTGATGGTTAATAATTTATATTGATATTTTATGACTAATCTTTTATATAGTAAATAGCTGCGCAAATCTAATATGTTTTTTTAAATATTGTTTATTTAGAAATATTTTATTTTAATATCCATATTTTGGAGTTACGAATCAATAATTTAAAATTGAAATGCGGAGTTAGAATTCTATAGTGGAACTCTGTCTACCTACAGTCCTACACTGTAATCCTCAACATATATAAAACATAAAATATTATTTTATGAAGCACATATAATAAATTACTGTTTACATTTTGTAAATAAACCAAACCAAACCATCCACAATTATGTCTTGCCATAATCGTAGAATACGCAATTTTAGTAGCAAAACTAAAATATATTCATATGAAATAAGCAACGTACCTATGCCTAGTAAGTTGTTATGGCCGTAAAATATATTTTAAACGTAATGTCTATTACTACTAATAATCATATGAACATATAATTTACACTGTAATTTATAAATAGAATATAGAAATTATCTTGAAGTCTGCAAGAAGCACTACATTCTATACATTTTTTATTGCAGCTTCACTCCTACTAGTCGCCGCCAACCTCCAATTTTTTATCTAACATTATAAATTAAAAATTTCGCATAGTTAGCAATATCGATATACAAGAATTAACGTTAATTAAATTATTCAAAATGCTGACTATATATTTTAACAGATCAAAATGTTCTATAAAACTGTAGGAGGATGATGTTCTCATAAGTCGTACACAAAATCAAAAATCTCTTTTGTGTATCAGGTTTTTCACACTGTCAGGTAACAGTTAGGTAGTATAAAATATAACTCTTGTTATTCTCCATGTTTATGCAAATATTAGAGAGGAACGGCTGTGAAAATGCTGCATTAAGAAAATATAGCCTATTGTCATATCTACTTAGTATTCAGTGGTACTTTCTGTTACTGACAATAATGTAGTCATGACGCGATCTTGTGCTTGAAACAAACTTTTCATACTAGTGTCTTAATGAATTTATTCTAAAGTCAATTTATTTTATGGAGTTACATTTTACTTTAATTTTAGGCGTATGAGTTTCACAATAATATAAATTGGCTTATGTTCTCAATAGTAATTTCTATTACGAAAAGCAATTTTCTGAATTGATACAATTAATTTGTTACATTATATCTTTGCATATTTATGATAATGTTATTGGTACAAAAATTATTCTACAGAAGTCTAAAAATGTACTGCTTATTTGATTAGAAACTTGCTAATATATTTATTCTTTTTATATTCATTAAGTGCATCTGCAAACTGTGTATAAGCAGCATACGAGTAAAACAGGAAATTGTCGTAGCGGTAAGTAATATCTACTTATATAGTGATACCTGACGGAAGAGGATATTGAATTATAAAACTAATTATAGGTTGGTTCCATTACATAAAATTAGAAGCAATAAAGTAATAATAATTATAACGATTAATTATAAATAATATAAAGATGGTTTGTGATAAGTATCATCATTATGGACATAGACGAATTTATCTCAACAAATAAACTGGAAGGGGTGAAATAGTGGGATGAAAGTTAGTCTAGACGAAATTGTAGATAATAGATGATGTCGTATAATTTACTTTTCAATGTAATGTTAACTACTACGATTCATTCTTTCTCTTGTTTTTTTAGTATTCAATATTAGATGTATTCAGAATACAATATATTTCTGACAGTGCACATTTAACATGGAACCTGCAGTATTACTTGCTGTACTCCATAAAAAAAATATTGATATGATTTCAATATTCATACAATTTATTTTTTGTGGAGCTAAGAGAAACCTTATATTAGCATTAAAAGCTTATTATATAAAACGACAGGAACGAATTCGCAATGCCGCCTGTATCGCACAATCAATGGCAACGCAATACTCCAATAGATTTTATAATACTCAACTCGTTTTGTACAACGATAATCTATTACGATGCCGGTCACGAATGGAAAATAAATCGAAATCAATATTCTCTACGGGCATTTCTAATATGCCGCCACTGGCACTGAAATCCCGACTGCGAGCTCCTTGCACGACCATATTCACATACCTCACATTGTCCATTAAGTTGACTTAGAGCATTTACAATTTTACAAATAAAACAGTATTTACAAAAGTAAAGGTGTATCTACATGAGCAATTAACTAGCATTAATCTATCATATTGACCTACAATATTAGTTACAAACGGATTTCTTTTTCTTGTGTAATTTAAACTGCCATTGTAGATATGACAAAATTTTGAAGAATTTAAAACTACACTCATAATAAAATGAATTAATATTGTACAAATAAAAAAATACATTTGGTTTAAAAAAAACATTAATATTAGTATAACTATTTATTGTAAAACAAAAAAGTTCTCAAAGTGAAAGAATGATAATAATAATCGGTTTAGTTTTTATAGAAATGTTTTCAACACTTAAGTCAAACAGTTGTCTAGTGCTCTTAGTAGAACCTCAGGCTATTTTGGTACTATATGGCACCTTGTGATATGGCCAGTTTTGTTTTTTATTATGTTTAGTTCGAGAATCGCATAATGACAAAAAAATAGCAACGATAAAACCATGAATAAAAATTCTGTTCAAGTTATACAAATCCTACACAGGAATTGTAAAATTTGTGTTCACAACAACATTATGAAATTTGCTGCGATGCCAACACATAAATAATTTCTCGAGGTACCATATATTTATGTACTGTATGAATATCGACAGACTTTTAGATAATTAATAATACTCAAAAATTGCTCTTGTAAATGCACCTTAATTTTACTGAGTGGCAGATTAGCATTTTAAAATAGGCATATATATTTCTGGAGTCTATTTAATGTTTTTAGTACGCCTTTTTTAATTAGAATTAATAGCAGCTGTTTTACTAGATTAAGAGGTAAAGTAAAGGGGTTAAATGAGTAAACAAAATAAATGAGTGGTCTTTTACGGTGAATGATACTTATATTCCGTAAGTAAGCATTTTAATGAAAATATTTACTGAATTTGTTTCTATTATTTTTATAGCTGCATTTGTTGTTGAAGACGTAAACGTATTTTACCTCACATCACACAACCTCACCTTCTTGAGATCCCTGCCTATACAAAGATCTATAATTATGAGTAATGACTGTTTTCCTTTGTGGAATAAAGTATGTCTACACAAGTGGGAATAAAGGACGCCTGATGGCGCAGCCTATTTCGCATGTATTTTTTTAATGAATAGAGGAACCCGCCTGTTCTAATGGTGTCTGTATTCAGGTGATAGCATGAGCAGGAAGTCAGGTCAGTTAGCCTATCGTGACGACTTCACCAGGAATTAACCATGATAGTTTCCAGGAAGGACTGCATGGAAGTCAACCTGGCATGGTAAATTGATAGCAATGAAGCCACTACTTAAAATATAATGTTTAGCAATTCATAGATTATAACAATTCGAACACAAATTTCAAAATATTATAGGTCTACTTATATTGTCTAATATAATATAGTTAAAGCTACAGCAATACAAAAGCCACAAAATTGCCATTAGAGTTAGCATCAAACTGTATGCGGTCACTAATTGCATAAATTATTTTACCAATTTAAAGCTATATCATAATATTATACGAATACGTGATGAATTATATAAAACACTTTTTGTAGCCTGGCAAATCGGCGAACAGTACCAATAATAACATCAATGATCTGTAATAAGCCACGAAAGATCACAGTTCACACGTACCAAAATATGTAATTTTGTTCAACCAGTATAAAATTACATATTTATGACATATGTCAGTTTTATTTTGTTACATTAATATAAATTTTGTTAACCAATACAAAAGGTAAACGGACATATACCTATATTTTTTATGACTTGATTTTTGATTCTAGGGGTATTTTA